GCTCGCTCTGAAAATGCAGTGACTTCTGGGCTCTTGTAGAAGCTCGAGTGTTAAGCATGGGAGAGGTTGGCAGGAGAAGTCTACACTGGATGGAAAACAGGGAGGGAAGAGGGCAGTGACAAGGACAATGAAATTTTCTGTATTGAAACTCCAGAAAGGCACAGTATATCATCTGCACTGGGAAAAGGCATCCAAGGATTTTTAAGAAGCATTAGAGGTCAGGAACTCAGTTGCATGTCTCGTCCATCCAGCGGCACCTCTGGAGCTGCAATTTTCCATCCTGACTCAGAGGAAAAGCAGCATCACTTACTCAACTAACCACTCACACTGTCAAGCTCTCAGTTTATTTTGGAAGTTCTTCCAACTCAACCCAACTTTGTTTAATTTGAGGTTGGAGGAGAACAGACTCATAGGGCGCGGGCACAAAGAGAGAGGGAAATCACAAGGTAAACATTGAGTCATCCAGGGCAACCATGCAAGTCCCATTCCCCATGGTCAGAGGGCCATCACTGGTTGCACTGTTTTAGACCAAATGTAGGGCCTCTGCTGATCATCTGTCCATGATCCCCTCTGAGGTGACTTTCTAAAGGACTGGAAAGATTCAGTGAGGAATACCAGGGTAAAGACTTCTGCACTCACCCCCATTAAAAGGTGTGGCAAGTCTCAACTTTATGAAAGGGAACTCCCAGAGCAGGAGACATGTTACATTTGCACTAGAGCTCTCTGTGCCTTGGAAATATTTTGAGAGAAAAATCAGCAGCACTGATGTCCAAGAGATAAAATGATCCACCTGCAGAAGCTGAGGATCCACACATCATATGCCCAGTCCTATACTCCAGTCTCCTGGAGACAAGAGGTTGTCCAGCCTTCAGCTTTCCCAATTAGAATAAGGCTGTAGCTGGGTCATACTCAGCAGAGGAAAACAAGCCATCTCCAGCAGAGGGGTTCAAATCTGCTCTGCTGCTGCTGTACCACCATCCAAGTGAGATTTCTTATGAAAGGGGACTCATTCTGTAGAGTGGCTTCGTTGAGGGTGGAAGGTGTCTCAAAGTAGTAGGTACTGCCCTGATATGAAGACTCAAGGACAGCGAAGGGCTCCCTTCTCCATGTCTTTGAGAAAGGATTTGGAGCTGGCCACTGTGTGTTTATCCCCAAAATAAACTTTCCATACTCCCTGAGTGATATCTATGCAACAATTCACCTGCCTTAAGAAAACGCTCCAGAACTCTGAGCCCACTAACCACAGCTCTCTTCTGGTTTTCCAGAAAGTTCTTCAGTTACACAAACAACATTTTATCAGTCCACTGAGTGTTTTTTAAAACCAAGTCCTTCTATTTGTTATTCTTGGTTGTTTTTCTTTTCTCTTTATCTACCCTGAGCAACACTACCCTTCAGGTCTTGTTTCCTTGCCTACAATTTTTGATCCACTTGTAACTTTTAAAATAGGATCTTTCATCATAAACTTCAAGGCAGTGTTTTCAAATAGTTTCCAAAATGTAGCCCAGAGACTTAGGGGGAATATTTTCTGGCACTGTGGTCAGTATGGCAAAAATAGAGGAATTATAAAATTGTGAGGCAATATCTGCATTTTTTCACAAATTCTGATCATTTTCACAAACAACAACAACAACAAAAAGTTAAAAAAAATCCTGAACTAAATAAATTTTCTTTGCATGTTTTTGAAAGCTTAATAAAAGTTCTCCAAATAATCATTGCTGAACCACAAATATTGTGTTACCTTATAGTACAGAGGTCTCCTCTCACCCGCCTTTCCTGCCTGAGCTCTTTGTTGGTCATTAACTGCCTGTGATGAATAGTTTCTCCTATTATCCAAACTACAGATCTGTCCACACCAGACAACAGCCAGCTATGCTGGCAGATGAGTGCATTTTGGATGAGTTCTTTCTCTATCCTTACACTTTTACCTGATCAAAATTTGTAACACGTAGTAATTGCCTTGCCAAAAAAAGATACAAGATGATGTAAGGAAAAATATTTCAGTTTTTAGAACAACAAACTGCATTCTCCTGTTTCAGCTTTTCCAATTATTGAAGATTTTACTTTGGCACCCACATGACTACTAAAATATATGGGAAGTTAAGTATCTTAAATGGATTCAGTAATCTAAATACCCCTCTGAATATTGTCCAGAATGTCTTGTTTGAAACCAGCCAAAGTAACTGAAAATATTTCCATGAACTTCAGTAAAGTTTGGATCCAACTCCTCATATATAACTGGTTTGCTTGTCTCGGTAGAAACCAGACCTTAGGACTGAAAAAGTTAAAGGAGCATCCTGCTGTTTCATTCTCCCTTCTATCCCTTCAGCCTGGCACCTTCCACAGCTGGCTTTTGGGCTTCCTTGGAGTTTCCTTTTTTCCCTTTGGACAAGGAGAAAGGCACAGGTTCATCCCACTTCATTTTGGACACTTAGCAGAGGCTCCCAAGCCTGAAAGCCTCATCATGCCAAAGAGCTGGCTGTCTCTGGAGGACAATTCAATGGACCTAGAGGCTGAAGGACCTCTCTTTGTCTCTGTGAACTAGAGAGGAGCCTATGGAAATGGGGTCCTCACTTGGCCCCTCAGTGCAGGACCTACAGCTGGTCAGGATAAATCCAAAAACAGAGGACACAGTCATGCACATCCAAGCCCTCTTCCCAATCCTGTCCAACAAACAGCACTTTTTCTCTTTCTATTCTTTTTCTCCATAGTGAATCTACACCTTGTTTTCCACAGAAAGGGTAGGAAGACAAAGCAGCTGGCAGGGATGCCAGCTCTGTCCCTCCCCTCCTTGTCCTCGGGTTAAAAAGCATGACATAAAAGCAAATCTCTGCGGTTTCTCCTTATCATCTGTTTGCTGAAGGAAGCAGCAGGTTCTTGGTGTGGGGTTGTGGTTTCAGGGTATGCCCCATTGTGATCAGCTCTGCACAAGGACAGTCGTTCTGCTGTTCTCCCCTGCCTTGGGCTCAGACCCAACTCCCCCCTTAACTTTCACCAAGCTTGTCAGTCGGAAATGAATGGATTTACTTTCCCTTCTAGTTCTTTCTTGCAAAGGAGAAGCACAGCTGCTGACCTCCTCATCCCCTGGGGAGTCTCCCCACTGCTCCTCTAGCCAGAACGTTTATAACTAAATATAACAAAGAAAATGAAAAATCAGAATTCTGAGTATTTGACAAAGATAAGCACTGAGACCAGGGCTTTTAGGAACTCTTTTATCCATTAATTCACGCACAGAAACTGTTGCCAGGATTGTAAAATTCTACTAGGTAGATTCACACTGTCTATTTTTGCCTACAATGTAAGTTATGTTCTTGAAAACGATATATTTGATTGCATTCCAGAGATGTTCCTCAGGATGGGGGGAACAAGGCTTCCACACTAACGTGCAGTTTTTGAAGTTCATAAAGTAGTTTCATAAGCTTACTAAAGTCACTGACTGCTCTGATCTTTCCTGATCTTTCCATCTATCCCCACAGGCTCTTCTCTTCTCAGATGTCTGCTGAGCTCTGAATTATGGCCTTATAGCTTTGAAAGTTATTGACTGAGGAGCAAGAAGAGTTTGAGGTGATTATCTGCACCCCCTTTACACATGGACAATTTCAGGACTTTTGGGTAGAAGAAGGAGCCAGCCCTCAGCATTTTGTGGCAAGCAAAAGGGGAAGACCAAATGTGAGTGCTACTGAAACCAGACCTCCCGGGTTTAATGGCAGTTGGACCTCTCGAGGAAACCACTTGGGCGGATACCCTGTCCCGTGTGGTTGAGCACTTCCCCCTGCCAGTGGTTTCAGAGGAAAAAGCTCACGTATCACACACAGAGCCAGAGCTTTCTGGAGTTAATAAAACGGTTTCGCTTTTCTTCACCAAAATGCTCTGGATTAACCCATCCAAAGTTCTGAACGCTGGCATGATGGAATACCTGCAGGCACCAGGCGTGAGGGAGGTAAGCAGCCAACCCACAAGGCTGGAGGATACTGAGGTGCTCAGGAATCACCTCCTTAATATAATAAAAATCAGCTTTTATAGATCATATAAAATCAGATTTTATTACATTTTCAAGAACTGCCTCATTTTCTGAATTTGCTGTAATGCCACAGCATGAAAAAACATATTAACTTCTTTGTTAATTTACTAATCTACTGTAAAATCTACTAATTTACTGATCCTTTCTTCCCCTTTTGCCCAAATAATTTCTGAAGAGACATTGTATCTGTAGCTTTATGTCCTAAATATCCCTGTGACTTTAAAGGGACGTAAGATTTCAAGTTAGCTCAAGTTTCAAACTGCAGTCAGGAATATTATGTACCTCTACAGACAGTAATTAGAATAATTATATTCAGGTATAACTGAATATTCTGAAACCTGTACCCCTGTTAACTGCCTCACATCCTTCTCCAGTTTGTGCCTGAGACTGTTCCCATTTTTCCACAGAAAAAGGAGAAACACACAGAAAGTGCAGCTGGGATTCTGTGTCAGGCTGGATCTGAGCACTCTGCCCAACACAGCAGGTAGTGCTCACACCTTTGGTGACAGGATTTTTTTGCTTACACCTCTCTCTCTACATTCCCATAGGTTATCATTGCAGTCATCACCAGCTTGCACAAACCATTAATTAGCCACATTCACAGAAGCAGAACCAACATTAGCATATGCACATTAATCAACAGGTCACCCTAGACCTTCAGAACCACGAAACAGACTCAATCATGCAACTGCCAGAGATTTCAATGTTAAATTGGTGCCAAAAAGCACGTTTCAGCAACTTGGGTGTACTAAATGGAACAGAAGCAAAACTGATCACGACCATCATATCCCAAAGCTTCAAAATGGGGGTGGGGAGGAAGGACTGTCCCTAAGTATCAGTCCTGGTATTGGTCAGACCTGGATGCCCTGCTGCAATAAAAACCTGGCTGCCTGTGTCACCATCACCATGCTTCCCCACACACACATCTTCTACTCCAAAAAAAAAAAAACCAAAAAATGAAAGCGGAATGAAAAGTTTCTACTCACCGAGTTGAGCCCCAGGAGGTTGTCTGGGAGAGAGGAGGTGACTCCGGAGAGAATAGCAGTGGCCACCACTGCCCCCAGGCACTGGGCAAGGATGTACATGAGCGCCTTGAAGATGCTGATCTGGCAGCTCAGGAGGAGGCCCAGGGTCACGGCAGGGTTCAGGTGGGCGCCGCTGATGTGGCCCACGCTCTGTGCCATGGTAGCGATGGATAACCCAAAAGCCAAGGAGACCTTCACGTTGTCCTGAGACTTTGTTGACGTTTTGTTGCCCACCACTGGGAAGCTAAAACCCAGAGCTGAGCCGATGCTGATGAAAATAAAAAGGCTCATGGCAAGGAACTCGGCCACCACTGCCCTCCAGAACATTTTCTTTTTGAATTCACTAGCCATCTTTCCCCTCTCTCTCTCTCTCTCTTCCCCTCCTCACTTTCCTTTCTCCCTTTCTCCCTGCTTTTGCCTGATATTTTTCCTTTGAGGTCTGAAGAGAAATCTGGAGAAAAAATACAGTCCTTGGATTATTTATAGGGCTTTGGGTGGTCTGTAGGAGGGAAGGGGTGTTGCACAAAAGGAGGAAAGAACATCTACATAGATGCTGACTGCTAGATTGATGTAAGACACTGTATGCTTGCCAAAGTTTTTTCTTCCTCCCCCCACTCCCCCCTCCCCTTTACGGCACTCGGTCTCTGCTGCCGTTTTTAAGAGGCTTTTAAAAATTCTTGGAAAAGTCTTTAGGAGTGCCTCAGGAATTTTCGCCTCACTTCTTTAACTCCTGTATCATCCTTCAGCACACGGATTGGAAGGAAAGCTTTTGCAGGATTTCTGTCTCGAGCTGGACTGAAACGAAAAGCAAAGTTATCTGTGGAGGCTGGGGAGTTATTCACGCTCAGCTTCACCGGTGGCAGAACACACCCGAAAGCAGTGAGCAAACCTCACAACTAAACCCACTTCAGCACCTCTGTTTCGTTTGAAAAGAGGTAGAAATGTCTCTTCTGCTGGCTTGGTGGAAACATGGACTCGTTTCTGATGTTGGTACAGAGCAAGATGTATTTACACAGGCTCACACAGTTTGGTGTGAGGTGATGAACGGTAGAGATCAGTTTTAATCTCTGTGATGGCCACCTAAACCTGACCTGAGGCTGCAAGTAAGCTGGAAGCTTCCAACAGATGCAGCTTGGGTGCTGAGGGACATCTGATTTGGGGGGGCTGGATATTTCTTTAGTATTTTATTAATTTACATCATTTCTTCACTTTTTTTTTTCTTTCAAGCACAAAGATGCCTCAGACTTTTTCCAGGCTTGACCTCCCACACTCCTCCTGACCAGCAGGTCAAAAGCCAATTTGGGGGCTTCCTAGCCCACATCCTGCAGGGCAAGTGTGTCTCTCACCACCCTGCTGAAGGTCAGCCGTCCTGGTTATCACCAAGGAGACTGTCTGCTGCCGCTGAGCCACAGGACTGGCCAGAGACAGAGACAGAAGGGGAGAGCGAGGGAGAAGGGAAATTACATGGTTGATTTTGCAGACAAAATGAATCTCCTGGCAGTGCCAGAGTGTCTTTGGGAGCAAAAGGTCTAACCGCCTCTGTTTTTATCACAGCAGGACTTGTATGCATGCCTCAGATTAACCCCTGTGTTATCAGCCCTCTGCCTGCTTGCACTGCTGGTAGCACTGGCATCTATAAATCAGGGGGTTTACTCTGACTTCAAACTGGGCAAAACCTGGTCCAGAGTCAGATACTAACTCCCCAGGCACAAGTCTTGAAAGATAAGTGTTTAAAATTAACCTACTTCTCTACCTCCTCTTTTGGTTCCTTCTTCTTACTTCAACTCACTGTTGCCTTCTAAATTGTACTTAAATTAAATCAAGACTTTTTCACTTGGACAATATGTCAGGATGAAGACAAAACCAAATACACACCTGGAGAGTATTAGACAGTCAATAAAGGTTTCTAAAATATATTTGGCTTTCAAAAAGTGATTCAGATACAAAGCTGAAGACTGTTCAAATAAAAAAAACCAGATGTCTGCATCCTGTCATCCCGAAATTGTTATTCTTTCTAGACATCAGATGTTCTTGATTTTCCATGTAACCCACTTTATTTCCTTCTGTTTTATAATACATTACACAACAGAACTGTACCAGAGAAAAAAAAGGAAAAAAAACCCCAAAGAAATGGGAACAAATTAATTATTGGTTTGACCATTTTAATTACAGTGGGACTTCAGTAAGGAACCATGTGATAGAAAACTCAAAAATAAAACTTAGCATGGTATGTGGTGGAATTTTAATATAAGATACAATTGAAACTGGCTGTATTCTGTTCAGTGAAACTTTTACTTACTGCAAACAGACTCTGAGACTTGAAGACCTGAAGTGACCACCTTCTCTGGTCCTACCAAGCAGATGCCCAAGACACAGGCATATACCACACACCTCAGGGAGCTAAGGAAAGCAGAGCTCTATGAATAGTTTACAAGAGTTTCCATGTGTCCCAAATTGGCACCTGTAGGATGGAGCTGCCTAGATATTCAGCTGTGTCTGCAGGAAATTCCCTCTTTACTCACTTCTTCCTACAATTAGGATCTGGATGACCAAACAGCCTCTGTACCAATACTGATAAGGTGAGAAAGAATCCCAGAAAGGAAAATTTGTAGAAGCCAGGAAAAGAGGCTGGGGAAGCATTGCAAAATCCTTCCCCAATTTCTACAGTCTCCTCTAGGTATCTTGACTGGTCTGTGCCAGAGACGTGGTCCTAAGCAAGCAAGACCTTTAGCCTGACCAGTGATTTATGTGAACAACACACAAATTAAACGTTCCCCGAGAGCAGCAGGTTGGATACCCCTCTTGAGAGTTAGTTAATATACTTGTATTTGCATCCTGGGACTTTCTGTTGGTATCTTCATAACCAGGAACCACCTTTCGTTTAGTATTTTGGAACTCAATGCCACAATAATGCAAAAATACTGTCATTGAGAGAGGAAAGAAAAAAAAATGAAATTAAAGACAGAAACTATTGCACATAAACAGGAAAAATACACATCTAAATGAGATGTGTGGAGCTGTTAACCAATCTGAGATGTCTACACTCTGATGTGAACAAACCCATGATCATCACTGCTGTTGTTACTAATTGCCTGTGTGGTGGTGAAACCCGGGGCTCCTAAGCCTTCAGTGCTGAGAAGAGAGACAGCAGAGACAGGTTGTGTGTAGAAGAGCCACCAAGTAGTGAAAGAGAAGGAGATGGCAATGAAAGAACAAATATTCTGCACCAGAAGTAGAGGGAATTGGCAGAGTGGACAAATTAAATCAACAGTATAAAGGTAGTGAGGAAAGAGGAGAGAGGAGACATGGGTAGAACAGCAACACCCCAGTTGGGTCTCTTCAGAAATGTCCATCACAATGCAGATTTAATTGGTGCCCAACTCATGTCACTTTTCCACAACATGAGCTCCAGCCCATCTTAAACAGAGGGTGGTGGCAAAGACCCCAGCACCTGGCCAAATAGTCAGAGTCCTATATAGCCAGTCTCCATAAACCACCAGGAACCAAAAAAAGGGCAAAATACAATGTCTTGCAGGACAGATCATGTGTTTTGTGCAGACAGTTTTTTTAGGCATGGTTTTATCTTGTGTGACAATTCACACTTGTAGGTGGGGTCTGTATTTTTTTCTGGAACAAGAGAGAGATATCTTATCAATGTTTATAAACATCTAAAGGGCAGATATCAAGAGGCTGGGGCCAGACTCTTTTCAGTGCTGCTCAGTAACAGGACAAGGGGCAACAGACACTGGAACCCAGGAAGTTCCACCTAAACATAAGGAGAAACTTCTTTGGTGTGAGGGTGGCCGAGCCTGGAGCAGCTGCCCAGAGAGGCTGTGGAGCCTCCTGCTCTGGAGAGATCCCAAACCCACCTGGCTGTGACCCTGGGCACCCTGCTGTGGGTGAGCTGCTGGAGCAGGGGGTTGGGTGAGATGATCTCCAGAGGTCCCTTTCAACTCCTTCCAGTCTGTGATTCTGTGATAACTGCCTGCCTTATGTGAGTGTTTAGGACAGACAATGAAGAACACATCTGATGGGAACAAGAGGAAGAAAGTAGCTTTTTAGCTCAGGGGTGATTCTTCACAGATGATTTAAACCAGTGTACTCTCAACAACTCTCTAATTTAGTTACACTAGAGACAGATGAGTGAAAAATTAAGCTCACAGTACTGGATATTTAATTGCCAAGAACCCAGGACCAACTCATCTTTTGCCTGAAACAAATCAGAGTTTGAAGGGCTGTAGCACAATCCTCAACATTTCCGTCAGAAAACAAATGTACTTATTAAGTGATAAGCTTTCTTCAGTGCTCCCACATGTTGAATTGCTCAAGATCTCTCTAGTATTTGAACAAGACACAAATGTCAGAGACTGCAAATTTGTTTTTGGCTAATATGACTTCTGTGGGAATTTTCCACTTAGGTGAAGGAACAGTCAAAGTTGAAGGGCAGAGGGAATATCAGTCCAGCAGCCAAATGATTTGAAGAACCAGGGGAACTTCAGCAAACTACAATTATTCTTGAGAAGAATTAGCCATCTTATGACCCTGCCAGCCAAGTCTTTTAGCAGATAAGTGGCAGTTCCTAAGAAAACCACAGTACTCACAGTTTCAGAGACAACAGCAATTCTTACTTCTGCCCATAGACTTTCACATCTCTGAGGCATCACTGGTTCTCACCACCATTGAGAAGAGCAAAGCCATGAAGCAGGGAAGAGCTAGAAGATCCATGTATCCCATGTAGCCCACCATCTCAGAAATGGAAAGGAGTCTAACACTGCCAGATGGAATGAAAATGTATTCCCCTGTATTCTGTTCAGTGTTGTCCACACAGAAAGAGCTCAGAGGAGGGGGTTCTGATGAGAATAATACCACTGGCTAACACCAACATTCAGGAGCTGCCTCCTGGGCTCAATCCACTCTGGCTAGAAGGCCAACCTGTCTCATTTTGCTACTGTAAAAAGTACAAGAAGGGAGCTGAGTCAGCATAAAGAAACTCAAGAATTTTTCTGAAAGAGAAGACAACTGACACAAGTCTGAGCACAACAGACACCTGACAGCATAGAGTAAGGCATCCAAGAACTGGGACGGGTTTTACACTGAATCCCTGACTTACTGCTCCTAAATCTAGGAAAGAGGGGAGATTTCAGACACATCTGCTTCCTCAGCATTTGCTATCAGCCAGGCTAAGCTCTCATTTGCTCCACACATTGACTGCTGAAAATTCCCTCCTTAGCTACTCGCCTGACTTTGTCCCCTGTATGGGAAACTCAGAACCTGTAATATCCTCTTACAGGGCTGGACACCTCAATTGCTTTGTGAAGTTGGACCTGAATACTCAGAAACTCATCTGGGAGGATCAGCAGTTATTTATCAACCACATGACTCACCTGCTGTGCCAGGAGCCAGGATGGTGTGTCACCTCTAACGAGCAAGATTCAAAAACATGAAGT